CTTTTTAAGAAATGAAAAATATTTGTATCTCGTGGATTCTTTAAAAATAGTAAACGACGAAATACGGTATTAACAATCACCCAATAGATTTTACCTGGTTATATATAATTGAATTCTATATAATAAAATTTGTTTACATAATGATCTAAGTTTTCAAAAATTATTGGCATAACAATTTGTTAAAATTCCTTTTTAATTTTCAAGAACTTTATAAAAATAAGTTAAGATATATTATTTATTTCTTTCCTTTGGAAATTAGCAAAAAAAATGGCAGACGTTATACTTTTGTTAAAAAACTTGTCAAAAGTTACCTTTGTCATGTAATTAATTGTAAGTCATATGACTTCAAATACTACGACTTTGGCAATTAATACAAAATATTCCTGAAGAAGAACCAGCAAAAATCAATTCGTACGCTCATTTGGAACAAAAACAACAGAAGGATTTACAACAGTTCTTACAGGCTAATACTAATGCATTTGCTAACGACTTATCACAATTAGGACATATCTTAAATATGTTTTAACCTTATAAAGCGAAAGGTGTGATGACATTTTAATAAGAAACTGGATCGGCTCATCCAAATTATAACGAACACGTAATTTTTATGTAGTGTGACTGAAGATCATATAAATATTATACGAATTTGGCAAGAAGCTAGGAATTCTCTAATAATTACCATCCTGAACTTTATTTTAATAAAAATGAACCTTCCAAAATATGATGGAAATATTCATCCAGATGAATGGGTAAACGATTTTCAACATTATTTCAATCATAAAGAACAATTGAATGCAGATAATTATATAAATTATGCCGTATCTTTAGTAGATCATATTATCAAACTTCCTGCTGGAATTGATTCTTTTGAAAAACTTCGTAATGCACTTAAAGAAGATATTTCTTTTACTGTATTCAAAATTACAAATAAAAGAAAATTACAATTATTAAGATATATTCCTGAAAAAGAAGGTGGTGAAACTTCAAAATTTATTTCGAATTTTCGCAAATTATGTTACAATGCCGAAATTAACGACATTGGGGAACAAAGGAAATTTCTAATTCAATCACTTCCAAATGATTATTTTTTATCTGAATTTTTTAAGAGAAGAGTAAAAATTAATTCTTTAAATGAATTAATTAAAGAATTTGGGGAAATTGCTATGGGCGAGTCAAATGTAATCAAAACTGGATCTATTGTAGCTTTAAAGCATGCTGCTACAGGAAAATATTTAAGTTCAATTAGTGGTTTAAATTATACAACTGGAAGCAATACTCAATTGGTATGTTTTTATAGATGTTTTTATGTAAGATAAATTTTAATTTAATTATACTTTAATAAATTTAGGTTTTTGCAAATAATTTGCTTGATCCGAATGCTTTATGGAATATCACATTTACGAGCGGTTATGAACTAGCTTATTACACCAATACTAATATATATTTACGACACAATATTTCTCGTAACTCTCTTGGAATTTTTGGTAGTAGTTATTGTAATTCTCCAGTATCTCAGCACACTGAAGGTAATCATTAATTTTTGTTATTTCAAAATATATTTTTTTAAAAAAGGGTGTAACATTGATGTATTATTTTATTTTAGTAAGTTGTAACCTAAACAATAGTTTTATTCAATGGAAGTTTAAAAATAGTAAATTAGAAAATTATCAAGGATGTTAGAAATCAAATGATATTATTAATCTTAGTGTTACTAATTATAATGGTCAACAAGAATATTTACGTAGTCATGATTTTCAATTTACTATTGGAAATGATACTTTTCAAGAAGTTGCTTGTCATAACGATAGATTAGGAGGTAATGATGAGGTATATACTTTTTTTTTCATTTTGTTATTCGTAATCTATTCATATAAAT